CCAAATTTAAAAATATTTAATAAAAATTATCATCTTATTTTATCGAACACAAACGCTAATAATATTATAGATATTATTTCAAGTATTTTTCATGCCTTCATTCATAATGAAAATGTAATTATTTAAATACTGCAGAAGAGACCAAATTAATTCGCCAGAAAACTTGCTTGTTTAACGCTTTCTTCTTTCTCTTTCCTAACAGTTTCGATAAAATGTGGCCAAGTTAAGGAGTCCATCAAAAGTTTCTTCTTTTTTTCTTTTTGATCATCAATCTAATGAATTACAGCTTAAAGTTCGAAAGAAAAATAAACAAATATTAATACTTTCATACATCAGAAAAAGTACATCAAGTTTCATGAGTTCACTATTGATGTAATGACAATCTTTCTTCCAAAAAACTTACTATCTGAACTTCACTGTCATCTGTGATTATATGAATTCTATCCAAACCTTCCATTGTAGCCAATTTGATGTTACCACCCGAGCAACTTTGTTGTTCATCTACCGAAAATATATGTTTCTTCAAGGCCTCATCTTTTAGCTTAAAAACGAACTGAACACAAATCAAGCAAAACTAAAATATTTTTGCAAAACAGTCTAATTAAAAAATCATCTTCGCTTCTTAAAAAAATAACCATTAAATTGAAAATAAAAGACGACATATTTAAGTAATTATCATTAATAAAATGTCCGGAAGATTTTGTTGATTTTTTTGAATATATAAATAGAAGTTTGAGATTCAAAAATGCAAAACTACCAATTGCAGCTGTTCGTTTATGCGATTTCTCTTCAATAATCGATCGATTTGCAAATTGCTGAATGCTTTAGAATCATCTGGAACCTAGAACTGTAATTATAGTGGATACAAACTTTTTACAAATTTTTTATAGAACATCATTTAACAAAAAATGAAAAACCTCTCTTAATTTCAGACCACTTCTAATTTTTTCTCGAGCAGTTAATAAATAATCAATTCGTTCATCACGAGTCGAAAGATTTTCAAACTCATGCTCATTAAACTCAGATGACTGTGCAGAACCAAAAGAAGAATAAGTTATTTCCAGTTCATCCTCTGATGCATCTTTTTGTTCCCTGGAAATCGATTTTCCCCTTATTAATTACATAATCCATTTCAAGCCCAGTCCACAAAATAAAATCGGAAATTAAATTCACAAACAAAAATTAAGAAACAAATGAGTTGTGTAATAGACCATATGGCTTAAA